CCTCGACCCGCTCCCACTCCCGCCTCAGACCGGTGAGCTGCATCATCACGCGCACCAATATTCTTGCGTCTAACGGTCGCCTGTTTTAAAAGGGCTCGCGTGCCGGGCACCGCCCTCTGCCTTGCTGTGATTGCCTGGGGCCACCTGTCAATTATGCCGGTGCCCGCGCTGGCCGCCTGGTGATTGGCTAGGCGGGGGCAGAGCGAGGGAAAGCCGTGGCGGTGGGGCCAGGCGAGTGAGGTGGCTGGTGGGGGTGTCGGCTGGGGTTGTCTCCTCCGGTCCGTTCTCCCGGTGTGGCGCAGAGTTCCTACGGGAGAGCGGGAAGTCGTGCCGTGGCCTCGCCTCCCTGAGGATAGCGGCGGGGGGGGGGGCTTGCTGTGCTGTGGGGAAAGGAGAAGGCGGCGGCGCGAGGAGAAGGGGCCGCGAGGAGAAGGGGCCGCGAGGAGAAGGGGCCGCGGCGGCCGCCCTCAACGTGCAAGTCGGCGAGAGTAGCGCAGGGTATTTCCGGGGCTGCTGTTTTTCTCTCTTTTTCTCTCTCTGTCCCGGGCAAGACATGCCCGTCTTGCCTCCTCAGGTGGCGTTTTCGCCCTGGGGCCCGTCCCTGGTTCACATGCTTCCTCCACTGGTCTCCTGTCCTAACTCCTCGGTGCCTCTTAACCTCTCTGGGAGCGTTGTGGGCACCCACATCGACTCTCACGATTTTAATCTGGTGTCCCCTTGCTGCTCTTGCAGATAACGTTCTTCTTGGCTGGATGTTGGAACTCACTGAGACAAAGGGAAAATTAATTTACCTCTTCTTTGCCCCAACTTTGTTGTCTATTTCCATACCTTGTTAGGCCTGAAACTGCTGAGAGATTTCCTAATTACGGAATCTTCATGCAGCTTGTAGGCTGTGAAACACAGTAAATGTAATTCACTTGCTGAAAGGAGATGGGACACCATTTGTAGCAGATAGGAATGATGCTGTTGCTGCTGTTGTCTGCTGGGGATTTCTTTGTGCTCTACCCTGTTTCCTTTCTGGAATCTCATTTTGATGAAGCTAGGAGTTCTTTGGGGATTGGCTTTTTTAATGACCAGTGATGGGTGTCATATAAACTTAACATTTCCGGAGTGGTTGCTTGCATGGATTCCTGCCCCAAAATGAATACCAGCTTGATAGAAAAAATAAAATACATATATCCACCAAAAGCCTTCTCTTTCTAGGATGGAAAAAATTGCAGTTGTGTTTATTCTATCGCCGTTCTAATTAAGGGATGTGTAGAGTCTGTTATAATGTCATATGAAGGCTGTTGTGGAAAGAGTGCACTAAAGAACAGTTTCATTATTTGATTTTCACATTTGAAATGACTAAGCTGTTGGGGGGGGTGGGGAAAACTCCACCTCTGGACAGTAATATGATTGCATAACATGTATAAATGTGGCAGTGGAAGGGGCTTAATCACTAAATAAATACAGTGTATAATTTTTTGAAAAACTTAAATTTATGCAAAATCATTTTAATTTGAGATACTGGGGTAGTTTCAGTGGAATATGTAAGTGAAGAATAAAAGGACCAGCAACCACGGGGATGGTTAATGTTTTGAGTATGGAGGCAAAAGCTTGCTTAGTGTGACCAGCAATCATCTGAAAACCTTCATATATAAAGATGGGTGGGATAACATTTGCTACATTAATGACTATGTGTGGCTTTATTTTTACTAATTCTTGTTTCTGCTAGTGGTAGGGAGTTACACAGTCAGCTGTCAGGTAAAATAAATAATCTGTGTAGATAATGGTGCTCATTTGGATAATCAAGCTAAAAGTAATAGTTTGGTTTGTACGAAAGCACCAGAAGTGACAAGCTGAAGAGGAGAAGGTGGCTTCAGACTGTAGAAAAAGGATGCAATTGTAACGGGTTTGAACTCCTTCCCTCCCTTTTGTCAGTGTTCAGTTCAGCGCAACAAGATTGAGTTTACGGCAGTGCTTGAGATAATTGGTTTCTTGGGACCTTGAGTAGTGGAAGTCTAACGAAGGGACAGACACGTGAATGCTTATGCACTCTTTACTGTCCTTTATTTAGTTTCCTTTATCCTCTGCTTTCCAGATACTGTATTAATTGGGGCCTTAACTAGGAAGCCTCATTGTTCAGCAAATTATAATGAGTTGACAGGAAACATTTGTGTGAAATTGAAGCTGGTTTTAACTTTTTCTTGGAAAAAATAAACTGCTGAAGTCTCAGGACATTATTTATTGGAGCCAGATCCTGAAGATGAAGCAAGCTGAAAACTTAAGGGACATTAAAGAACAAACAGGAGTTGTAGCTTATTTTTCTGGTGGTGATTTTTTGGCCAGCATTTCTTTTGGAGCATGAGTGGCATAGCACTTGGACATACCATTTGGGCAAAGGATTGAAGCGTTGAAGATTGCTTGCCTAAGTATTGCAGACCTTAAGGCAGAAAATATTGGGAAAAGAAGATCTAAATTGGGGAAGGAGAAAGAGGCAGTGGAAAAAAATAATCTGATTTGAAAGTTAATTTTTTTTTAGGGGCTTGACTAGTGAAGTTGGTAATTACCAAATGGGTTCCTTGGTGTGATTGTTTCCCATCACCTAGATGACAGACACCTAAAGCTGTTGTACGAGATCTTGGCATGCCAGGGAAATAGTGAATAGAGCAGCAACAACCGTATTGATAAACTTTTTTAGTTTTGGAAATTGTGAAAATGGACAAAGGCATGAAAATAAGGACCCCAGAGGTGGGATTATTTCAGCCCCTTACTTTTGCCAGACAGTTCTGCCTAGTTTTATTATATATTGTTTTTTAATTCAGTTACTTTTGTTCCTGAATTCTTTGAATTCTTTATATTAATTAGGCATGGACTTAATGTATTTTTAAGTATTTTTGTACTAAAATACAGTTTTAAAATCATTGGTATTTCTATAAGATGTAGTAATAAGAAAGTGGAACTTGTCACTGAGTAGCATATAGGTTTCTACACAACTGTAATAACAAGATTTATGAAAGAATTCATTATTGTACTTGAAGGGCAGCATACTTGAAAATAGTTGTGATACCACTTATGAAAGTTTGCTTACAGAATATATAGTTGCTGTTTAAAGTTCAAGATTATCACAGCTACAGAACATTTGAAAGCAAATATATAGATGATAGTAGTTGGATGTAGGATTGAAGCCTTATGCTAAACAAAGTCACAGTAAATACACAAGCATAGCATAAGTTGCTTTTCTGTGCTTTGGTAGCTTCTGTATACATATAACAACTTAGAATTATCTGAATTGAAATATCTGCAATGTTCTGTTGAAGCTATTGCAGATATGCACGAGGAAAATAAAACTGCAGCAAATGGATGTGGCAAAATCCGAAGTGGCACTCAGAATGAGGCTGCTTTACTGGCCTTGATGGAGAAGACTGGATACAGCATGGTTCAAGAAAATGGGCAAAGAAAATTTGGTGGTCCTCCACCAGGTAAGCATTTCTTTTGAGGTTACGAAGCTGGAGTTTATTTCCTGTAAGGAGAGCTATACTGAATCAGACTGACAATTTGTGTAGCCCCATGTCCTGTATCTTGACAGTGACCAGTAGTAGGTGCTTACGGAAAGAGCGTAAGAAACACAGCACATACAGGGTCCTGATATGCTTTACAGTTTCCAGCAATTCAAGATTTTTTGTGTTAGACTATGTTGAACACTTGCTCTTGGTGGATTTAAGAAGTCACAGCTTTAAAAGCGGCTAAAGCTGACAGCAAGACAAATATGGAGTTGAAAATACTGTGTTCCATATGACTGAGAACACGCTTGAAAATGTTTAGTGGCACAGAAGGAACAAAAGTTGGTGATAGCAGGCAATAACCTACTTTATTTCTTGTCTTAACACTTGCGTTGGCCAAAGCATTTTTTTTTATTTTTTTTTTTTTTTTTTACAAATCTCTGTTCTCTGAGATAGCACCAGTGAAGATAATCTAACCCATTTTGTTTTCAGAGTTGACTAATCTGTTCTCCATATCTAACATAACCTCCCCCTACAAAGCTTCATTCTGAGAAGAAAAATTGATAAATGCTGAGCTTCTGGAGCTTTTACCATTCATTGGATGTGTTTTTTAATAGTGAAGTACAACAATCAGTTTATTACTCATGCATCATTGTTCTTTCACTTAACACACTGGAAAACAGAAATTGTTGAGTATGTATTCATGTGTAAACAGATAATAACAGTTGATAGAAGTCCTAGAGAATAACAGAGATTGTGTTGATGCTATAAAAACTACAATCATCTTCTTGGTTACTTTATGGTGGTTTGGGATTTGTTGTCACTGTGCAAATGGGAGACTTAAGCACTTGAACTGGAAAGTTATTGCTGCAGTGAAAAGAAACTTTGTCACTAAAATGTTTTTCTGTATGCCCAATTATATTTCCACTGAAGTCAGTGACAAAAAATAGTAGAATTAAGTCCTGCAGTATACAGAACATGTACATTGCAATTTGGAAACAGTGGCTGTTGGATTTAGTAAACACTTTTCAGGATGTTACTGCATTGGAAGACTTAATTTTTTCTTGTGTATTAAATACTATTTCAAAAACATGTCTGATACTGTGATTAAGTAACTTAGCAATAACAAATCTCTTGAAATAGCCCTATCCCCTGCTAAAATACTTTTGCTGAAACTGCTGCTGCGGATTTAGTTTATAGAAAAAGAGTAACACTCACAGGTAGTGCAAGGAAAAGCCTTTGTTCAGCACTTAAATTTGCTTTCCAAAATAAATTTAAATGACTCTTAGTTTTAAGTAGGACTGATAAAAGGTGTTTTTGTTTGAAGATGTTGAAAGATCATTCAACTTTAATGCATGCTTATATGAATGCTGGAAACTGGTGGGTTTATCTCGTGCTGCAAAGGCTGAAAGTTTGGGAAATAAATGGATAAAACCCAAATGGTTGAATTTGTTATTGTTTTGAGTGAAGACACATGAACAGAGGATGAGGAATAGTTCAGTAGGTATATATTCTTTTCCTTATTACCTCTTTTTTGTCATTATTCCCCTATTCAAGAGTTGAAACTTACGTTAAGAATACATTGAGAAAATAAGTGGCTTCTAGATCATTTAGTTTGAACTTCTGTGTGTCTTACACATTTACTTTCTGCTCAGTTACTATTGTGTTGAGCCTGATGACTTTGTTAGGCTAAGACACATTTTCAGAAAAGTATCTGGGTTTGATTTTGAGAACTGTAAAAGGTGGGATTATCTACTCCTACACTTAGTGTGTTGAGATGGTTTGCATCTTTCCTGCTGAATTTGGGCTTGATTTCTAGTCTAAAATAGTTTTTTTGAATTTTCTTGATGAAATACTTAGTACCTGTAATTCTCTGTAATAATGCTGTGTCAGTTACCTTTACTTAACATTTCTTGTTATTCTGATGAAATGAATCAAATCCCTGAAATCTTTATGAAGCATTTATTTTACTTTGAATAATTTTTCCAGTGTCGTCGTTGACATCAGCAATGTACAAGAATTTCACCATTAGTCCTGGTTGTATCACATGGAGTACAGTAACTTCTTTTTGAGTCAGATTATGCACTTACACAGAAGCAGAAAGAAGGAAAATTCTTTGTGCTGCTGTTTCAGTTCATTGTCGCTTGTGGCCTGTAATCCCATATCCTTGTAAGTCATGCTCATAAGCATGGACTGTATTGCTTGTCGCTGTTTGTAGTTTAAGATACAGCTGCATCAAAATTATTTCTCTTTGGAAGTTTTTCCTGTCTAAAATTATGTACATACTCTTACTAGCCTATATAAAATAGGCAAATGGAGCCCTGTGAAATTATTTTGAAAATGGTACTGAAAAAAGAACTGCAGGCCATCACTGACTACTTTCTGAGGGCTCAGCTTGTTCTTAAATTATTTAATACATTCTTTAAATTGTAATTATGATTTTTAATTAGAACATTAGACAGTATTAAGTGTGTTTATTTGGCAAAGTTACTTTTATTAATGAAATTTGTTAATCTTTTCTGAAACTAGATATGTTTGACAAGGTATATCTTCCATAAATCTGTTCAATGACATTAATTATGTACCTCTCCTTTAAATCTTCATGTATTTTCATACTTGCTTAGCCTGGAAATTACCCTAAGTTACTATAAATGGTTTTCTAGGCCAGATGAGACTTGAGTGTTTGAGATGGCTTCTAAGAAATTGCAATTACTGTTTGCAAACAAAGAGTTTCACTGTGAATTTTGCTTAAGATGTGGTTTCTTTAAGCTTGTGTTGCTGCCAGAGGAGATAGTCTCACTGTCAGCTCTGTTTTCCTGTTACCATCTTGTTTATCTGACTGGCACATTATCCAGAGCAAGCAGCTGATCTGGCTCAAAATTATCCTAAAAAATGATTCCCCCCCCCCCTAGTTGGCAGCAGCACGGTTCTTGTTCAGCTATGCCACTTGTGGAAAATGTATCTGTAGAGTGAAAAAAAAAAAAAAAAGTTAAGCGAATTTTCATTGCTTTGGTTGGGTCCTCTGCTTAGACTGCTGCAAATATAATGACATCATTATGTCTGAAGTCATTAGAATTACATGGAAGAAAATTTGAGATGGCATGGATCTCACTAGCAGTGGGAAAATTATAATGTTTATTGCAGTTTGATTACTTGAACTGCTGCAAAAAAAGGAATCCCATAATCTATGGTCTAGTGATGAATCAAGTACCCAGTCAGGGAAACTGGTCAGTTGGTAACTGCTTGAGGGATGGTGCTTTTGGTGAACTGTTTCCATGTTTGCTCTGTTAAAATACATGTCGCTCATTGGCAAATATGCCACAGACCAGGTTTTCTTTAAGTCAGAGGTCATACCTTACTCCCAGTTGGCAGTAATGTGCTATAATGCTAAGTTAGTATGCAGCTTTAAAATGAAAAGGTGGGCTTTTTGAATGGTAGATGGCCTTTACTTACTGAGAATCGCTATTTAATCAGTTACCAGGCTGAGGATGAGTGTAAAAGTTTGTCTAGTTAATAAATGAACATTGTTATTTAATTTCATGACTTCCCTACACAATCAAGCATAGCCTCCTCCCTTTTTTCCTGATTAAGGTGTGCAGATGCTGTTGTCTTTGGAGCTCCTAAATGGTGTACTGTTGATTTATGCCCTTTTATGTGGGCAACTGACTGGCACGATGTGAGTGCTGGCAGTGCTAGCTTGCAAACCGTGTTACTTGCCATGTCCTGTCAGACCTCAGCTGAAGTTGTCATAAATATTTATAAAGCTGAAAATGATAAAGATGTTGAATATTGTGTGGAACAGAGCCAAACTTTTTCCTAGATAAGCCATGGCAGCATGGCTCCAAATGCATGTCAATTCTGATGCCTTGGTAGCTTCCTTGTGTACCATGTAGTTCTTAGTGTACAGCTTACAGGTGAAAATCGGTTCTGTGAGAAGGCAAAAATTTCCCAATTCTGTTAAAAATTTTTTTCACGACTAAATTACGTGCTCTTTGATGATAATTACATGAAGGAAAAAGTTTAAAGTTAATTACAAAATCACCTAAATGTAATTTATTCTGAACTTCATGCCAAAGTAAAATATTTAATTATCTTCTTGTTTTAACTTGTCAACAGTAATTTTTTTCACCTTGCCTCCTTATGCTTTGTCATTTCATACTAGTACATACTTACCAAATTTTGTATTGGTTTTTTGTACCAGTTTGTACTCCTTGATTTCTCTCCTGCAGAGAACCTTTCTTGTCAAAGCTTTAGAAAAAGCTGTTAGTGACAATTTAACTGTTTGTCTGCCTTTGAAACTTCTGCCTGATTTTTGTCTAATTTGTTTTAAAAAAACCAAAAAACAACCAAACTTTTTTTTAAATGCATATTTTGGGAAAATGGAGTGCCATATTTGCAGACCATAACTCCATATTTTTAAATGTACGTATGCATTTTTACATTATCTGTTGAACATACCTTTCAGCGTATATGGCAGAGATACAAGAGTGTATGAATGTCCTTGGCTTGAGGACAGAAGCACGGATCTTCTTGTAACTTTCAGATGTGAACTAGGGACTGACTTGCTCTGTGGATTTTATTTCTTTTTTTCCTACCATGTAGCTCCAGCCCGTGAAAACTGTGGCCTGGTTTTAGAGGAAAAGTGTTCAGTCTTTTTGGCTATTGGAAGAAAGGATGGCTCCATATCCTACCTTCCTTAGGGAGTCCTATTTTAGTGGATGAATGGAGAAGGTGGAAGCAAAATGTTTGGACCTTTTTTAACAATTTCAAGGAAGAAAAAAAAAATACTGGGGACCCTGACCAACAATTCTTAAAATATGGGCAAGAAGTACAGAGAAACATTTGCAACTATAAAATGTTAGGTGATAACTGAGAAAGAACTTAAGTTGTGTTTTCTACTCTATCAGTTGTATTAATAACTGACATATAATTTTAAGGGGAAAAAATGATTGAAATGTAGACTCTTATAGCAAACCTATCAGTGTTTTAAATAATGCTAGGTTCGGTGGATTGTCGTACAGATTCCAGTGAAAGAAATAGAAGACAGAATTAAAAGAAATTAAAACATGCCATAAGCCCACAATTTATATTTAAACATAACAAAAATAAGCATTAAATAATGGATGAGAATATGCCAGTTTAAAATTGAGACTAAAAATAAATAACTCCCACCTTCAAATTATGGGAGGGAAGTGTACCTATCTGGCATTTGTACTAAGATTGTTGTTGGACAATTTTTTTTTAAGGTTGGGAAGGTCCTCCACCACCTCGTGGATGTGAAGTTTTTGTGGGTAAGATTCCTCGTGATATGTATGAAGATGAATTAGTTCCTGTTTTCGAGAGAGCTGGGAAGATCTATGAGTTCAGACTGATGATGGAATTCAGTGGTGAGAATCGAGGCTATGCGTTTGTGATGTACACTACTAAAGAGGAAGCTCAGCTAGCCATCAAGATTCTTAATAATTATGAAATTCGTCCAGGGAAGTTCATTGGTGTCTGCGTAAGCTTGGACAACTGCAGACTATTTATTGGAGCAATTCCAAAAGAAAAGAAGAAAGAAGAAATACTGAATGAAATGAAAAAAGTTACAGAAGGAGTGGTGGATGTCATTGTTTATCCAAATGCCACTGACAAAACTAAAAATCGTGGCTTTGCTTTTGTAGAATATGAATCTCACAGAGCAGCTGCAATGGCTAGAAGGCGGCTAATCCCAGGTAAACTTATTTATAATTAAATTGGGTTTTGGGGGGAGTATCTGTCTCCATTTTGTGGGGGGTGGTGGATTGTCCCTGTTTGCCTTTCTTTAAGGTATTTTAAGAGTTACAAAACTGCCTTTCAGCTAAAGAGGAATTTTTTTTGTTATGAATCAGGATTTTTTTATTTGTGCATGGGTTTTTTTTTGTTTTTTTGTTTTTTTTTAAACAAGCTGAAATTTAAGCAGTTCTGAGAATGGAAGAGCAGACATCTGTTTTATAAACACAAGTTACTGTAATTTACACCAAGATACGTATTTGCTTGGGCACACATCCAGTTTTCATTTGCATGCACTAGTTCCTGCACATGAATTCTCTTAAAGCTGAGCTTAAAAAATATAATGCTTGGAATGTGTCCCGTATTTTCTTTGAGTGTTATGAATGATGTTGTTGATGTTTCATATTTTAAAAATGTTTGAAAGTAGGTCTTTAATCTTTTACTAGAAAATAATTTTAAGAGTTTAACAAGTAGAAGACTACTTTTTATTTGCACCTTATTTTATACCTTTTGTATAGAAAGTAGAAGGGATTAAATATACTGAAAGAGGAGGAAATAGATAAAGGTACAGTTAAAAAGGGAAATCCTGGAAGAGAAATTAAATAGGGAGGAAATGAAACAATATAGTTGGAGAAGCAAAGTCATTAGAACAGGTAATACAGCATTTGCCTTGCTGAAATGAATGGCAAAACTTCCTGTGTTTATTAAGGCTAAGATTTAGGCAAGTCTTGCGTTAATCACTGACAGTGTTAGGAAGGAGTGTTACCTAAGACCTATATAGGCCTTGCAAAGTAATGGGAGAAATATGGCCAGATCACTGAATGTAAAATAAACTAGTCGTGTGATACGCAAAATGTTGGCTTGAAATGAGTAACAAGGTGGGGTTTTTGGGGTTTTTTTGTGGTTTGTGGTTTTTTGTTTTTTTTTTTTTTTTTAGTTTATGGTTTTGGTGTCTGCTGCAACACAGAGTAAGGCTTGTGCTAGTGCATATACCTTTAGATGACTTTTTCCAGGTGTTGACCTTGCTTTTTAAGGTGGTAATATTATTGAAGATGCTGTGTTTACTAACCAGTAAAATAATATGTTGCTTATGGTTGCTTTATATACATGTGTATATGCATGTCACAAAATGGCAAAGTCTGTGTTTTGACAGCTTATGGTGCTTAATGAACCCAAAGGGTACAGATAGAACATCTTGAATTTTTGCAGAGTCTTACTTTCTTTAATAATTTCAAGTAGTAATACCTTGCGTATTTTGCTTAAGTAGATGCAGGCAACAAAAAACACTGTTTCAAGTGGCATGCATCATGTTTGTGTTTTCTAGAGGTAGTTGATAAGAATGATTCTGTTTTCCTTTGCATATTTCTTATCGATGTAATGCTTCTTCGCTGTAGGAACATTCCAACTCTGGGGTCATACTATTCAAGTAGACTGGGCAGACCCAGAGAAAGAAGTTGATGAAGAAACAATGCAGAGAGTTAAAGTATTATATGTAAGAAATTTGATGATATCTACTACAGAGGACACAATTAAAGCTGAATTCAACAAGTTCAAGCCAGGAGTAGTTGAACGTGTAAAGAAGCTGAGAGACTATGCTTTTGTTCATTTTTTCCACCGAGAAGATGCAGTTGCTGCTATGTCTGTAATGAATGGAAAGTGCATTGATGGAGCCAGTATTGAGGTAACACTGGCAAAGCCAGTTAATAAAGAAAGTACTTGGAAGCAACATTTTAATGGTCAGATAAGTCCCGGTTCTGAAAATCTCTTAGGGTTTCCTAACAAAGAAGATGGTCATCAAAAATCCTTAGGGAAACCAGCAAGTCTTTCAGTTCGTCTTAATGGTCAGCACAGTCCAGGCCCTCCTGAAGTTGAAAGATGTACATACCCATTTTTTCCAGGAATAAAGCTTACTCCAATTAGCATGTATTCTTTAAAATCCAGTCACTTCAGTTCTGCAGCAATGCATCTGGATTATTTTTGCAATAAAAATAACTGGGCACCACCAGAATACTACTTGTACTCAACCACAAGTCAGGATGGGAAAATACTCTTGGTGTACAAGGTGCTTATTCCTAGTATTGCAGATGGTTCCCAGAGTTACTTCATGCCAGACAAACTCTGTACAACAGTAGAAGGTGCAAAGGAATTGGCAGCACAGTTCACACTTCTACATCTAGGTAAGCCCAAAGGCTTTCAATTAGTTCTTAAGAAATAAAGCTAGAAAAGTTATTTCAAAATTGTTCTTTGTGTATATATCTGGGCTTGTGTGTATATCTTTATATTAAAGTATAAGTTAGTCTACAGAAGAATTGTTTCTTGTATAGTCAGCTGAGTCTGGACCGTCAGGTGAGAGCACTGAAGAAACACTGTGTAAACATCTATTCAGTGTAATGCTAGGGTCACTTTTGCTTTCATTTACCTACCGTAATGATTTGTAAGGAAGAAATAGATGACATGTTCAGTGACTTAGGTATAAGGTCATCAGTGTGATGATTATGGTGCTGAAAATTTATTTGAAGGGCTGTCTGTGTTCTTGATTTGTTATCAGTAGGGAAAACAGAAGTGGTAGATCCATATTCAGATGAAGAAATAGTTTTGGGAAGCTTTTTTGATTTGTCTTTATAGACATTAAAGCTATAGCAGAGTATCATTACATGGCTCTCTACATGTATTATCTTTGGGTAAAGAGTGTTGTCATTTAGTGTTCGTTCTTTTTTTTTAACCAGAAAATAGGAGAAAATAGGGATACAGTTATTTGTAATTGCTTTCTAAGTCTAGCATCTTGATTTATATATATTCCATTTCTTAAAAGTAGAATGCAACTACTAGAAAAGGGAAAATTTTATATTATAAAAAAAGCTATGGTAAAATCTGTTCTTTTCATAACTAAGAAGACAGATCACTGCAGTTCTGGCAGTGTTATCCCTGTTGCTCTGTAAAGTGAAATACATAAATAATACAAAACATAACGCTTGCCATCGAGTTCCTGCCCAGCATTTTTCAGAGCATTCAGCACACAGCATTCAGAACACAGAACTGATTTCTACTGACAGGTTGTTTCATTAGTAATTGTAGTCATCATCTGATCAAACTCCATCCTCAGAGAAATCAGAATTTTGGCTCTTTGGTACTCAGATTTGAAGCCTGTTACAGAGCCATACCATAATGGTTTGAAAACTGCTCATACTTCAAGGCAAAGCTTTTTGTGTAATTTACTCCGCTTGTTCTTTTGAACTGTTTCTCTTCTGCTTAGTTAGCTCTTTTTCTGGCCTTTACATCCTGGTATATTTGAAGATGAGGTAGGACTGATCTTTATAATTTTGTGAGTATTATGATCCATCACATAATTTCTCTGATCTGCTGAGTAATGTTCTTGTGTATTTGTTGCATGGCTTCTTTCAGCATGACAAGATCAGTAGATGCTGTGTCATGAAACAAATTCTTGCTAGTCTTTTGTAGAGCAACATAAATATTTTTCTGTCATTACAAAAAATGTTTCTGATGAATCCTAGAGCCAGAGGTTTGGGTTGTGTTGTGTTTTGGTTTTTTTTTTTTGTCTTTCTGTGTGGGATTCTTTCTGTGAAGAATTCTGTTGGAGATGATAGGCTTGTTCAGATAATACAAACTAGTTTCTTGTCTAATTGTGTGTAGAAAGTTGGGGGGTTTTGGGTTGTGGGTTTTTTTGTTGTTGGTTTGTTTTGTGTGGTTTGTGGTTTTTTTATTCAGAATTGGAGCAATGCCTGACTTGTTTGTGAGGGAGTGTTTTGTTTTTTGGAGTGGTGGTAGGCAAGTTCTTTCCAAGTTTCTTGTAATATCTAGGAAGTTCAAACAGATTGTGCTTCAATTACTATTATTTCAGTCTATTAATAGACTGCTGTGTTTTTTCACATTCTAGTTTAGAATACCAGCCTTCTTAAGCCATGGACTTCCAGGTTTGAAAGGAGTGACATTCTCTGTGGATAGTGCCTACTGTGTGTGGGCCAGGCAGGGTCTGAGGCATCAGACTTGGTGATCCTGTATAGTGCAGCTCTGGATAGAAGCACAATGAGACCATACAGTACAGTAATCCTTTTCTGATTAGCTGTGCATGCATACAGGGCCCAGGACTGCATCCACAAGATTTAAAGTTTGATTTTTGCTTTGGGAATGGAAGGAGGAGAAATAAGAACAGATAAAGAAGTGTTTATTAACATGCCTTTACTTAATTTTTGCCCAGTGAAACTAAATTTTCAGGGAAATGGAAGCAGAAATAGTAACTGAAAGATTAAGTGGAGTCCTGTGTTAGTGATGACTGCTTCTGTTCCTGAGGAATGCTTTAAGAAAGACTTTTCTGTTCCCCTCTATTCCCCTCTTCCCCCCCCCCCCCCCCCCTTCTGTTTTTTTCTCACCTGTTCTAGTTTTGCTGGGTTGGAAAAGCTACTGCTGATAGCAAACTGTTAAAATAGTGTTGCCATCCTTCTCTTCCTAATACTGCTACTTAGCACCTGTGGAAGTTTCTTGATACTTAGGCTGTGGTGAGATTTTTCTTTTGGATGCAGTTTGTAGCAGACTTATTTCAGGCTTGACTGTGATGCCTTTTTTTGCAATGCATGACTGAAATGTAAACAAGCTTTTTCTTCTTGCTTAGAATCTTGCTTCTCCTTGGTTTTGTTTTTGCATGCCCAGAAGGTCTTAGAGGAAGAAGAATCTCCAAAACACAAAGCCTTATACATTGTCTCCACTTAAGCAGTGATATGTTTGGTTTGCATTAGTAGGTCACCTCTTGAAGGTGATACTTTCAGATGGTCAAAGTGATCAGAATCATTTATTTTTAATAATAAAACAGCTAAGTATCTGTGCCTGCTTTTGTACACACTGTGAGGGGCGTTCTACTGGTTGAGTGTCTGTTTCCATTTTTTTCTAGCTATGAAAATTAGGGCCATACCTTTATAACCCGTGTAGTCCTGAGCACAAAAGATGAAAAAAAGGATGCTAAACTCGAAATAATGGTGTGAGGCTCTCCTCCTTTAAAGAAGAATGAAGACAGCTTCAGGTTCTATGCTTGACCATGCATACCTGCCCATTTTGTAGCTTACCGATAGCATTATCTAAAGATACTATTTTCTCTCCTATACTTCTTTGGGAAAGAATCACCAGAACAATTAACAAAAATTAGACTAAGAATGATTATTCACAGCTGTGGTCAAATCCAGAATGCAAACAAGTTTAAAAAAATGAATAAAGTATTTATTGAGATTTTTATCTCAATAGTTGAGAAACAGTTGAGATTTTTATCTCTGCAATTATAATTAAAAGTGCTATAGGGAAAACATTTTAAGGTGAATTTAAATTGACAGTATTTTAAAGCTTTTTAGCACTTCAGTGTGCCATATGATCACAATTAATGTGAATCCTTAGCAGAATGCTCAAATCCCAGGTTTGTTTTTTAAAAGCTGTCCACCTAATGGCCTAGTGCTGGTAATGCTGTCTTGTTATCTCTGAACTATAAAACTCTTTTCTTTTGATGGCCTCTGTGCATTCTTGTTTCTGAGGATTTGGCCCCGCACAGAGCATGCAGAGCCCTATTTCAAAGCAAACATACATGGCTGACTTTTGAAAGATACACCTCTTTCATGTTGATAAAAACCCTCTTTTTGATGTTGGCATTGTTGTGATACTGAAACATAGCCCTAAGTAGTCTAGAAATAGAATTTCTTTTCCCTATCTAATCTACAGAAGTTGTTTTTGTTCCAACTTAATATATACACTATGTTGAAAGAAACATCTGAAGTTTAAGAAGAGTTGGTAGATGTGACAGAGGATCACTCCTTCTCACTGAAGTGTCTGTTGTATGGCTTGGCATGTTGAATGATGCTGCATGGATGCATGTGTTGTGGGTGGGGTTTTTTGGTTTGGTTTTTTGTTTTTTATAAGGAGCAGTGATTTTGAGAAAAGTCTGAGTGTATTTCTTCTTGGAAGCAACTTACTATAAGCATGAGCATACAAAGATGACACAGGGAATAATTCCTTCTGGTAAGTAACTTCTCTTACAGGAACTTAAGTTTTTTGCTGACTTAATTTTTGACTTGTACAGGTTTTTTTCTTTTTAAAGCATTTAAGCAGACTAAGGTAAGTGAATGAGAAAGGGCTGCATTGATAGAATTTTAAAATTGGACTGTTATGATTAATAATCTCAAAGCACTCTGGCTTTTTTTGGTGATAATGTATTTCTGTATTTATTTTCACATAACAGAATACTTGGTTGTTACTGCATACAGTAGTCCTGAACAGACAGCAGTACAACAATTAACCACTTGGTGTCACCTGAATATTTTGAAAACGATGCTTGGAGAAAATACAGAAAGCTATGATTTCACTGAAAGATGAATAAGCTATATTTTAATGTTACCAGATAAATCATGACCAGATCAAGAGAGTGAAAAAACTCAGGCTTGTTTAAATATATGGAAGTTATGTGTCTGGATTCGTGAGAAGGGGAGCAGAGCTACACGTTGAAGTTCCAGAAGGTGAATGTTGGGGAGGCGGGGAACAGAACAGGAGAAAACCTGAATGCCCCGTAGAAGAAATTAATACCTTTTCCATTAATTTGAATCTCGTTTCAACACAAATAAGTCTGTGTCTTTAGAAGTTACACAACACTTTAGTGTTGTTAGCAAAATGGTGCTTGGCTGTTAAATGTGGTGTCCAGTTTGAAAAACATGTAAGACTTCCTACTCTTGCCTGTCTTGGAGGCTGACTAGATGTGAGGCAGCTCCAATTTGGAGACTGTATAGTTGTGCTAATTAACACAGACTCTATATTCCACCTCTGGTCCAGAAGCAGTGTTAGTGCAGAGTCAATCCCAAAATAGGAGGTGTTATTTATCATTCAGGTCCTTTGCATCAGTCGTGTAGCTTATGGAATCAAGCTGGCTCATCGAAGTCAAGCTGGCTTGACTTCGAAGTATAGGCAGAAGAGAACTTGAAGTTGTATAGATGTGCTCTGAATTGCAGGAGAACTTCCACCTCCCTTTCTTTAGTAAAAGTAAACATCTGAACCCTGGAAAAGCAGAACATTCTTCTGAGAATGATTGGTGTTTTTTTGTTGTATTTTTTGTTCTGGTTTTTTTTGTTTTCACTTGCTGCGGGTGGAATTCCACTGGTTTAAGGAAATACCAGAAGATGTCAAAACCTCTTTCTAGTCCTTAAGATAACACCCTCTGTAGCAAAGGCTGAGTCCTGGGAAGTTCTCTCCCTACTGAGTCTGACTTAAGGGTGATGGGGAAGAAAGGAATAAGTTTCGGTAAAGTTTCCTCAGTGTTGGGGATCTGCTAGGTTTTAGACATGCATCACACAATAGGGTATTCTTTGTTTACTCACACATGCTATGCCATGTAGCGTCTCACTGAGACACAATTTAAGAAATTAATTTTTAGGTAGAAGAAAGTATTTAGAAGTATTTAACAGAAAGTATTTAAAAGAAAAATATACTGATAAATTTCTGAATCAAGGAAAAGCATTTTAATAACTATAGCACGTAAATAACTTTAATTCCAATTCATCACATAGAATGTATATAGTAAACTGTACTGAAACAGGTGGAGCAAGCATTATATCTTACTACTATGAATTCACTTGTTTAAACTTCTTAAATACTGCATGCAGAAGCAATTTAAAAGTCAAGGATAAAGCTTGTATAAACTAGTTCAAGAGTCTGTACTCGGCATCTGGGTCTCGGAACAAACGTATCAATAGACTGCTGTCCTCCTAGATTTTAGACATTAAACCTCAAGGTGTGACAGTTCAAGTGAAATGTTTTTATTTTACTATTTCACTGTAGGGATTTTCTTTACTTCCACACTGCCTTGGTTTGCTTTATCAAAATTAACTGTATTGCTGTTGGAACAAGCAACAGCCTGCTACAAAAAGTTAAGATGTTTAAAAAAATACACAAATTGCTGGCTTTGTTTAGCGAATAGAGATGATAAGTGGTGATTGGTGGGGGTTTTTTTTAGTGATTTTTAGAAAGGCTCAGAATGTAGTATAAGATGTTCCTTAACAGTATGAATTTAGAAGTCTTAAATATTTATCAGATGACTTACACATAACGGTTTTTATCACAGCCCCTGAGCAAGCATATATAACTTTGCTGTCCCTGAATGCCGCATAGTGGGATAGTAGAGGTGAGTGAACCTCCCAGCGTTGCGTTTGGTGCAGGTTTTTGCCCCCTCAAAGACATAGTCGTAGCTGGGCTGCTAGAGAAATTGGTCTCAAGGTTATTTCCCCACATACACACCTCTGAGAAGGCTTGTAGAAATACTCTGTCCAGTTTGGTTTTTGTTTTTTTTTTTTTTTTTCCAAAGGAGACCATAGTTCTGCTGTAGACCTGCTGATGGATCACCCAGTCTGATATTCATGTGGATTGTGCAGCACAAAGGAAGGTTATGGTTTTTACTCCTAAAATGACTGAGTCATTTTTCAGTCATTTCTGAATTAGTTGCATTTCCAGCTTGGGTTTAACTTTATGTTCAGAAGTGGAGTTGTTACTACACTGGTGACTTGGACTATTTCTTTGGGTAGTCAGTTTCATGTAAAAGAGACTAATGTCTCCTCTGATTTGCAAAAAGTGTTATTTTTAACTTTCTGCATTTTATGCTACAAGGGTAAATGTTCTCTTTTTTTCGAATATGCTGTTGTGGATGAATTTAAGTGTGGACGTCTGTCACTTCTGAGGCCTCTTTCATTTTTTAAAATGGGGATTACCATCTTCTGAGTGTCATGAGATTGGTTTTTAAAAGCTTACAAGGCAGTTTGAAAATAGCATTAAATACATGCTCGGTGTTAACTTTACCGCTGGAAGCTTCTAATCTGAGTCACCCAGGATTTGTCCTGAAGATTCAGTTATTTTTCTGTTGCTGCTGCTTACGGACAGGGGAACGTAAATTTGTAAATCTGGGCCTGTGTGGAAGAACTTGGAGAAAAATAAGAAAGAAAGATACAACAATGTTGGACTATGTTTATCCATGAAATAAGTTGACTGACTTCAGTAAAATCAGTCGCTTCAAAACAGGACTGAATTTAGTGCCCTTTTCTAGTCCATTGATGACCACAATGAAGTTGGGTTTTGTTTATGCAGTGTGTGTCTGGCAGAACTTGGTACTTAGTTAATAGTACACCCTGATCTAAAGTGTTAAATATGCAATATGAAAGATTGCTGCTATGATACGTATGAAATAGGTAACAAATTAATACAACTCAGAACAGTGATCTAGTATGCACATTAAAGTTGTCTTCATTAATATTTTTTGTTCAGTGGAAGTGAAACAAAGGGTCATTATTGTAGTTTGGTTGAGAATATATATATAGGCTGAGACAAAGAATGTTTTTTTTTTTAAAGTATAAGGCTTTTAGGAAAAAAACCCTGAGATTAATAAGTTCTCATTTTTCATTTCTCTTTTTTACTAGGTTTTTTCTGATGTTGCTTGAACTGTTGACTAAATAATTTCTTGATGATTTGAGTTAGTATTAGGGGTGCAGAGGAAAGGGAAGAATGCAGCATTGGCATAAGACTGTGAATGCTTTCTTTACACCATTATCTTAAGTTCCTTAATAGTTAAGTCCATCTTGGAATAGGTAATGCAGTATGCTTGCTGAAATCAAAGTCTCTTTCTTCCCCCCTTCCCCCTCTTTTTCTGCAGCCAACTGTACACCCTATTTGGCTTGAATTGCCCTGAAGAAAAGTTTGGCATTTGTTGCTTTGGATCTTGCCACGAAAGAAACAAGAACACTACACTGATACATAATTACTGGAAATTCACATTACGTGTTTATTGATGAATAATTCTTCAAAGCACATGTGTGTATTAAGCATTTCACTTTAAAGATTAGTGAACTTGAATGTTAAATTATTTTGGTTAGCTTGATTAAATTTGTTTTGAAAAGATAATTTGTTTTAGAAGATTTTTATTACCTGTAATAGTTTATACAACAGTAGCTTATTTTTAGTGTTGAAATAATTTGCTACAATTCCTACTCTTGTATTTTGAGTTTCATGCAGAATTTTTACAGCTTCTGTTGTAATTAATAAATCTTAAGCAAACAATAAAAAAAAAACCAACCCAAACCACACCACCCTGGCAACTCTGCCTTTTCGTACATAAACATACATAATATGAAACTTAAATACCACACTCAGATTTGTTTCTGTAACTTGATGCAAAATTTTATAGGAAGAACATGTCCAATAAAATCTTTGCTTCTGGTATAGCATTACATCAGTGGAGGAGTGGTATTTTGAACAGGTTTATGTCAATGTACCATCAGACTACATGAGAAATATTGCTGTAGTCATAACACTGAGGTTCAATACCTTAGATAATGCTTTGAGACAAAAATTGGCAAAAAAAAAATCTTAACACATACAAATTACATGTACTTTTATGTACAGCTCACTAAGGTGCATTTCCCATTGTTAGCACCTCTCTGCTGGGACATGTGCGTGCTTCTGTGTTCACAGAGGTCTTATTCTTAATCCGGGCTATCCCTCATAACCAGTGCTTCTACTTGCCTGTGGTAGCCATGTTGAACAACAGCTTGCTCACTTTCTAATCAGGCCATGTTCTTCTTAAAAAAACATCATTTAGCATTAAGCTGAAAATAGTTTTCTAGTTTTTAAATCGGGTATATGTAATTCATTTTCAGTGAGCCATCTTTATTTTTATTGTGACTGTTTAGCATTTCTCAGTAAAGTGCTTTATTTATCAAATGACACAAAATAAAGGCTTTTTTTTTCTTTTTTTTCTTTTTAAAAATCTGAAACTAATACAGTAGATCATCCTTCTTTTTGAATTTGGTATATAGTTTCAGTTCTTGGTCAAGGAATGGGCCAAGTGGCATATGTTAAGAGTCTAAGGGCCTGACCTATGCAAGTATTGGTTGTAAGCTGTTTGGTCTGAAAAGCGTTTGTCAAAAAGGAATATTATGTAGACAGAAAACGATGCAACGGAAAGATGTAAAGTTGAATAATTTTTCTTAAAAGCAGTCAACTATTGTGGTCCATTACATATTTTAGTTAAACATGTTTCATCAGAATATTAAATAGTCTTTTTTGGTGTTAGTTTAGGTACAGTTATAGCAGTTTAATTTTATTTGCATTTGATATTAGCTACGTAGTAGTTGTTTTAAGTGTTGTAATTTTTAATGTTGAAATCATGTGTTTGACTTCTGTACTTGAATTAACATTTATATTAAATTTATGCTGTTAGTATTTTGTGTGTGTAAAAAATATTTATTTTACACGTGGTACCTTCACAAACTTGCTTTGCAGGATTCACTTTGCTTTCTCTACTAGCAAGCTTTGGCCAGAGGCTCCAGTGTAGGTGCTTTGCTGAACAAGAGGAAGGGTAATTAAGTGGCTTAGTGAAACCTCGAAAAAAGAAAAGTAGTTTTTAAAAAGCAGGTTTGCTTAGTAGCGTCTGTCACATTTGAAAGTTGTTATAAACTGTTGTGATTTCCTAAGAAACTCTGCTGGGAGGAAAGAAGAGGGGGCTTCCTTTACTTCATGTTTAAACTAAGTGGTCCCTGAGGCCAAGACAAAAATCGGTGTTTGAGATAGAATAATACAGTATAATGCTGGTAAGATATGGGGGAACAAATTTAAAAGTATTTGTGTCTGGCAGTCTGAGAATTCCAGTCTACAGATTGCTGAAATGAGCTTTATTTTTATTTTTCAGGTGTCTTGATTAAGACTCACTTTTTTTATTGCAAGTTTTTTATATAGGAATCCTTAGCAACACCTTGAAAATACAGTAGACTTTTTGCATGTGGAAGAAAGATTTGATAAAACAATATTCTGTAATACTTCTAATGGAAATCTGGGCCAACCAAACCTGGGCAGAATTGGTATTGTTAGCTACTCAAGGGAATGGTGTGACCAGCTGCACAAAGATTGTATAGCATTAAAATGAATCTCTGTAGGAGAGGTGACTTACCCAGTGAACAAAAAAGGAGGTACTGACCGGTACTGTAGAAAGCCATGGGATTGTATTTTTCAAGTGTGTAACATCCTCCTTGTTAAGATTTCTAACCGTGCTCCCATCTTTGAAGCAGTCTTGTGCAAAAAGTTTTGCTACAAACTAGCAACTCCCATCATTATTGACATGAGCATGTACCTTGGTAATTATTTTCAGTATTCCAAGAAGTGTGACTGTACAAAACCATGATCAAACATTTGAGTGTAATGAGTACTGGGTGGGTGTAAGCCAAATACAGCCCTCAGAGAGAATTTGGTCTTTGTTTTGCAGATAAGAACAAAGGTGTAAGGAATAAGCAGCTGAAGCAGCAGTAGCACTCAGTAGCTGTACTTCAGGGTTTTTGAAGTTTATTTAGAATACATAATTAAAAAATCTCTAATCAGTGTGCAAAATTGCAAGCATATCTTTCATATTTATAAAAAGTCTCACTGGAGCTTATTAACCTTGGGGTGGGGGGGGGAACCACCATGTATTTCTTCTAAAAATGTTGTGACAAAGGGAGAATGTGGTGTTGCTTTTTTTTTTAACAGTACTGTTGTATAACTGATAAAAGTGAATCCGTATACCATCCTGTTCTGTAATTGGTGTAGAAACTAGAAGTCCCTCTGAAAGTAGAAGTCACTGGCTTCAGCAAAACAAAGTTTTGTTCCTTGATGCTAAACCCACTGCATTAAAAACTTGTCCTAAATAAGAAAAGGTGGTCCTTGTTCTTAGTTACCTTTTTCATCTGCTTGCTGCCTTTTTTTTTTTTTTTTTTTTTATGTTACTACCTTGTGGTTGGTGACAGATGGTAAAGCCAATGTTACAGAGCAAGCATGTTGTGGGCAGCAGCCTCTATGTTCCCATCTTCATGGGGGAAAAAAACCAGTAGATGGGGTGGGGGGAACTAAGGTGGTTTGTCACCAAGAGCTAGCGTCCTATTTAATAACACGAACAAGAGTTACTAAATTAATGGGAATTTCTTTCAAATAGGAAAGAGTATTAAAGAGCAAGTCAGCTGGGAGTTGCTAGGTTAACACACGCTCTTGAGGTAAAAGCAACCCCCAAGAAGTCAGTTGTATCAGTCTTCTCTTTCAGTGAGTTTCTTAGCACAGTTGGCTATGCATAACAAAGAATGACCAGTTTAGCATCTCTTCAC